CTTACGCGCGAACTAGCAATGCGAAGGTCATCCTCTTCCCGTAGAATCGAGGAACCTGGATTACTGATAATGCTTGCCAGAAACCGCTATCTTCAGCTGAATGTAAAGGTATCAGGTTTCAGATTATCAAGGAGAAATTCCTTGTCGAGTGTTTTGCTTAGAGTGGTTATCAGTAAAGTGGATATAGGACAAATCTGTCTATATTTTCAAGTATACATGTATATACATTGGAATAAAAGCAGGAAACTTAGATGAAAAATGGAGGTCAATCGTGAGCATGTCCGCAATAAAGGAACAGGAGCAAAAATAGAAGGACTGGAAATAAGAACGACGTACGTTTTTTCTTACTAGCTTCGTGAGGCCCATATGGTTGCCCGTCACATCTGGATCCGGGTGCAACCTGACGGAAAACAAGGACCAAAGCTACAAATGTGCCTGCTGACCCTTGTTGGTGGGTAGTTGTATTTCCTTGTCCACCCCTATAAAATTTTTCTGTGTTGACTAGTATAATCTCATGTTGATATCTACTCCATCTGATGCTACTCCGAATACCCTGGTTTAATCAACTAGCCTGATAAAGCTATTTGCCTGGTGCATATGGAAATCCCGTTAACAGACATTTTGACCTTCATCCAGCATTAGCTTCAAGGTCATCATCGCAGGCACACTGTCTAACTTAGTCAGGTTCCATGGAAATGCTGCTAATCCTGTTAACACTGAAACATTCGTTAAGAAGATTTATTTTTTTTACGATGGCAGCCATGATTAAAGCCTTGCAACGATGTATGTGGATGCAACAATCGGATCTGCATACCAGACACGCTAACTAAGCAACAGTAGTCGTATCAAAGGACATTGGAAGGGTGAGAGAAACAACACACATAATTGCAAAATGCACGGGTTTTTGCTGTACTACTACAAATTTCGGGCGAGAATTAGGGTAAGCTACTCTACCACGTGACTTCCACAATTACAATAAATGTTATTTTGCTTTGCACGGAATATGCACATGTTGTATATAAAAGGAAAGAGAAATAATGAAATGTGATTACATGCCCACTATGAAAAAAAGATCAACCAAATGTAAATCAACTACCTACTTAGACGAAAAAAGGTATAGTGTTTACACTAGAGCATGAAAGAAGGTGGACCGTACACCCCAAGAAAGTTAATAAATGCAACGCGGGATAAAAATGAACAATATATATGTGATCTGAACAGAAAATAGGGGAAGCCGGGAGTTTGCAATTTAATGTGATAGTTATCAAGACTATTGTTTTGTATGCTTTGACTGGATTAAATGTGAAAAAGATAGTATGGATAGGCATGCTAAAGAGCATTTACGACGCAAATTAGATTATACGTGGCAGATCTGATGTAAGCGTAATTTTATGAACAAAGCATGTAAGTTATATTTTGATATGCTTTGAGCTGTTTATCAGCGAAACGAATTCAGTGTGCGTCGATCCCTTAGTATTAAAAGACCGCGTTAGCTGTAGTGTACAATATATTATGCATCTACCTTCCATCTTGGTACCCGACTGCAGTAGATAAATATTGTGAGCATAGTTGTAATAATTAATTGAAGACACCAGTGGATAAAGGTGTCATGTAACATTTTTTAAAATTTGCTTTTTGCATTAAACTCACCTTAAGGAGTAATTCTTTTATTCTGTGATTATTTTGTTGCAAAAGCAAGATAATAACAAACTAATTAAACCAAATATTCAAAATTTCAATAAAGTAGAAGGTCCCAATAAAAAATGTTTAAAGTCAATTTTCTCCATACAATGATTTTGTTACATGGCACCTTTATCCATTTGTCCATTTGTGCCTTCAGTTGTTAACGAGTCCAAAACAATTATAGCTTTACCGTATTTTAGAAGTAGAGACATCGTCCCAGCGTAGAATAGGTTAAAACGTAAAAGTGGTTAGCTCAGATTGGGCCTATAAGCCAGTAATATAGCTTTGGTTCGTCTAACCACAGATTGCCAATCTCGGACCACTTTTGTGGTATCTGGCATGGTCTAAGCTTGGTCTCAGGCAGGAAAATGGGATGAAGGCTGAGCAACTATCCTCAATCCAGAGTATAAGGTCCATCGAAATTAAAAAATAATTAGCAAAACGAAACGCCCTTGTATGGCCGGGAATCTGAGGGGCCATGAGACGTCTTGGCAGAGTCGACGCTTATGCAACCAGAGTTACGCGTCCATGTAAAAAAGCAGGATCGGCATTGCATTCAAATATTGACGCGCTGTAGTTGCAGCTGTTCGTCTCCTGGGACCCCGTTTATCTTAGATACTAAACACAGAGGGAATATCGCATAGATATTTGCTAACACTGGAATATATTAAAGATAAAGTGTACCAAAAACTCCAAGGTCTTCACCAATCCACTGCCTTCTTGACTACCAGGTATTGTCTTGCTGGATGCTACACGGTAGCTTTAAAGAAATCTCTCCCCTAACCTTGAATTGACGCGTCTCTTAGGTGTCTTATAGGATTACCTGCTACCGAGACTCCACGAAGTCCCTTATTCCGCGCAAAATTAATTGGGGAGCATTGTGGTGTATTCAATTACGGTTGTACGCCCTGCGTTCATTATACTAATACCCCTGGCTATTATGCAAAACGTTCCGTATATGTTTCATTGTTATTTCAGAGGGTCCACAAGAAAATTTGATGATCTTGAGGATGATGTTATTAATAATGTTTCGTTAATATACCTCCATTCGTTAAGACGAAAGTTGACAGACACATGCAGTCCACGTACAAGCTAAGGATGAAGTGACGATACCCACGTGTACGTGTTTGCATCTGCAGTACATCAAAGAGGCTTTTGAATATGTTTACAGACCGGATTATGTACATATGTGTAGTTAGAATTAAGCATATTTCAGACAGTTATTGCATAATTTACCTAACAATCACAATGTGTTTTTATAGTTTTTAAAAGATTGAAGATGATTGAAGATAACTTATGAATCGAAACGTTATGATTTCAAAAATTGTCAAACGTCAAAATAAATTTGAAAGACCTTTTAAACCAGCTTACTCGGTACCCGTTGTCATTGAAAATTTTCAAGAGGATGACCGTGGAGGGCAGAAGGTGAAAGGGGGTGGAGTAGTTTTTGGTTAAGAAGTTGTCATCCTTGACAAATCTTTGGACGTGTCTTGGGGTTTTTTCTTTTCGATAAATCCGTGGTTGGAGGTTTTCAAATAAACACCCTGTATAGTGTTACATAAGACAATAAGCATTTAAGGCGTCAACAAGGCTGAAGTTAAAATTTTAGGTACGCAATCATCCGTACTATAACACCTAGTTGCAGCTGTTGCTTAGCAACCAATAAATGGGAACAGCTATCCTGTTCCGTGAGCATACAGTTCTTTTCCTGGTTCTTGACAGGTCACGGTGAAGCTGCATGAACCATGGAGTTCTTATACAACCTTTTAATAGTCATAAGCAAAGACATAAACATACACAATCACGTTCGGGTAAGCATAAGAATACAAGCTAAAAGTTATGAACTTTGATCTCTTTAAGCTCATGACTATAATTATGACATGTTGTATATTTATACGCGTTCATAAGGAATTCCGACTTCAACTGCAATGCTTACTATATGTCTCCCTCACACATGCATCATGCAATCGGCCTCTATACGTATATGCGGAAGTGCGTTTATGTAAGCTCCCGGACATGGTTTTTATCTTTGTCTCGCCGCCATTAACATTTTCTTGTTAAAGTATGAGCACCTCAACAATCTTCCACACTTCCACAATTTATTTTTTTTTTCAGGAAGCTAATGTGCAGTAGCAATCTAGAAATACTCCAGCATTTCTGAAGAAGAGAAAATATTATGGAAATCAAGGAGGCCATAAAGGCGTCTTACAATTGTAGGAACGACTGTCGATACGGCCCTTAGACACATAGTTAACTACCATATGCATGGATCCGCAAGGCGTTCATTTTTGAGATACAGGATCGAATTTCTTCTATACTTATTATTTTTTCAATATTTTCTTAAATATTGTCGATTCTTAGAAATAAATTAATTTATCTCTAGCGCATCTAGCAGACATTGTTTGCGCAATGTATGTATGAGTCTCTCACAATTCAATGAATTGCTTAAGACCATGCAGCGATTTGCTGATATTGTAGCCAATATTCTACGAAGAAGAAGCGCATCCTATTACACCCCTTTGCTTTCGAATTATTTTGATTCCGAGTAACCGATGTTATCAAAAGACACTGCCTTCCATTTCAAACCTTTAATTTGTCTTCATCTTTGACTTTCAAGAAACTTGATTTTGCTGCAAATTGAGTTTTCAAGAAAAGCACAGATTTTTTGAAAAGAGAAAGCGATTATAAAACAAGGAATCACCTGCTTTATTCTTCTATAAAAGTTGAAACATCACATACAACTTTAGAGCTGTACTATTATTTGTTAACGAGCTATGACTGAAGAAAAAATTCATTTTTTGACAAAAAGAAATTGATATATTTGACAGTGACAAGAGTTGTCACGAATGACATAAGACATGAAATGCATAGAACATGATAGTTCAGACGTAGAAGCGGCGTTGCCGAATCAACAAATACAAGTTAGTTAATCAGAACTTGATAAGCATTTTTTCCGGCATTTTATATTTAACTTCTTAGCAACAGTTATGCAACTTGAAAGTTAAGGATTGAAAAAACTTGCCCTAGAACATTCTAGTAAAATACATCTCGCTTCGTGGATGTTGTTTCTGATGAGAAGACGGTATTATAATTACTCGAGGTTTCCGGAACTTGATGAACAGCTTGGAAAAGCTTTCCATATTCGCAATTCAAGATTCACCAAGAGCTGGACAGACAGTGGTCAGTAGGTCAAAATAATAAAGATTTCAAACTGGAAGTATGGAGGTATGGAAGATAAAGCTTGACTTAGCTTAAGGTTGACCTTAGCAGGGCGATACAACCGGACATTAAGCTTCTAAAAAGTTTCTCAAACACAATTTTACTTATAAACTATCTATTACGGTATAAGGCAACTACAAACTAATACAGTAAAAAATAAAAAAAGATTCACACGGGATATGTAAAAATAATTTAACAAATATATAAAACTTTCTTGAAAACATGGGGCTATGTACAAAAACAATGTTAGTCCTAAGCTGAAAGCTTAGGAAACATGAGCGACAACCTCTGGACTCTTGGGCCTGCTGGTAAATGGGCTGGTGATGAGTCGAGCCACATTCTGAAGTACATTGATCGGGATCTGAAATAAAAAAAATCGTAAGAAACCACTTTATTTAATCGTATTTAGACCATGCTTTAATGGGGCCGAAAAAGAAAAGGTTTTAGATGACAGGAAGAAAAACTTGATAAGTAGCCACGGTAATCCGTGACGAAGTGTTTCAAATGGACTAGGTAGGTCATCGACTTTGTTCTTCTAGTATCTCACAAAGAAAACTGAATATTGGTACTACCAGTAAGCCGAGTATCGTCATTGTAATACATAAATACTTAGGTTCCTACAGATAAAGTGTGCAGAAGTATTCTTCTATTTTCATTCATTCTTACTAGGTATCGTGTTTCACGTGCGATTCTGTTATATTCTTCTCGATTAGAAAAACAACACTGTTTCAAGTAGGTTAGAAAGTTCAAGTCACGAAAACCTTCTTATTTATCTTTTTTGTATGACATAATATGTATTAATTAATACGTAACCTTGTACCTATATGTTATCTATATTTAGCTAAGTTGTCCAGTAAAACATAACTTAGGATTTTCATTATAGGAAAAACAGGTACCTCATCCTTGCTGTTATGGCTAGGAATAGAACAACGAACAAGCCTGCATAGTGAGAAAACGGTCTGTATACCTAATAGTATGCCTTCGTGGGTTCATAAAGGATACACACATGTCATCAACTAACTTTCAACATAATTATTTTCAGGTGCACAAATTATATAACCATGTTCTTAATTGATCCATCTTTATGAGGTCATTATATAATATTTGTAATGGGCAGCTAGAAACGAAACAGTCTTTTTCTTTTGATTAGTATCATTACTTTCTTCATTTGGTCGCCTGCCGTGCAATGAAACCAACAACGTCGATAAAAATGTAGCTACACACATATTTTGTAAGCTTCTACTAGTATTTTTTTACCCCACACCCTAACAAATCAAGAAAGTATCAACCGTACAAGGACTTTAACAAAGTAATCCGAATACAGAATTTTTTCAAAACATGCGGGAAAAAAATACGAAAATGATTTTTAAAAATGGACATTTACGATAATAACTGTTTTCCTTAGCGAGAATCACATCTAAAGCTACTTCTTCTAATAGACAATTGAACTATTTCAGATATACCAAGATCCTTTTTTTATAGGGTGATATTTAGCAGTTATCTAATTTTTTGAAAAACTTTTTGGAAACTAGTAACATTGAACAGCCTCAAAGCATGGATTTGGAGGTCAAGCAAGCCGATTTTCAAACCTGCTGTGGAGGTACTCTTAAAACCTGTTTAAAAACATTTTAAATACTCGGAGTTTCAAAATACTTGTACTTAAACTTAAAAATGCTTATTGAATGTATACCTTTAAATATTATTTTCGTTATTGTTAAAATATAATAGATAGTAAGCCAACAAATTTTTATATATATATATATAACGACAAGTAGGAAAATAATGGGCAAAATCCGCAAAAAGGAGGAAAGTGGATTCAGATTCTGTTTATATATATATACAGGGTGTCCCAGAAGCCGACGTCAAGCCGAAACCGGGTGATAGGGAAAGTCATAACAGCTATCAGAAAAATATTTAAAAAAATTTTATGTATGTGTTTTGAAAATTATAGGTCTTTGAAAAAGATATATAAATTTCACACCCTACGGCAGTCAACTCCTGTTACTACAAATATTAACCTTTTTTGGATTTTATTTTTACAGTGTAATGATGAATAATGCATCTTCAAACTGGTGTCTCAACCTTACTGCCAACTTTTCTCGTTCAGGAAAAATTGCCACTTATTTCCCAACCAAGTATTCCAAAGTAAAACTTTGCTCAACTTTAACTGGCTGTACTGGAAAAAATGTACTACGAGAGTTTGGCAAGTAACCTTAAAAGTTGGCGCATTTAATAACGATTCCAAAATGGTATAACACTTAGAAGATTACCTACTCGTTAACTTATGCATAATTTTTATTTGAAAAAAAACTGATGAAAATTTTTCAAAATTTCCTAATTAAACAGCGACTATTAAAACGCACAAGGACCCTTAAGGATAACTGTATGCACAACAGTGGGCATCAAAATGCTGCTGATGATGATTTACCTTTACAGCAAATGCTCAAACTGTTTTCCTTCAGCCGCAATACACGCTCGACATCTTTTTTAAAAAAAGATCCGGTTATTAAACGAGCGAATCCACGGTTATTAACAAACTCAGCTGCTTCCAATAGTCTTTGCTGTAGTTCAGCTACATTTTGAATCGTCTTGAAATACACTTTTTCTTTTACAGTTCCCCAGTAAAAAAATTTAAAGGATTCAAATCAGGTGATCGGGCTGGCCACGGTATTGTACCAGACCGCCTTATCCATCTGCCTTGATCGAGATACTCTCTCACTGAGAGTGCATAGTGCGCTAGGCAGCCATCATGCTGAAACCACATGTCCCAGTAAATACTCAGTGGCACGTCCACCAATACATTTTGTACATGATTTTTCAAAAAATCCAAATAAACTTCAGCAGTCAAAGTCTCTGGGAACTCAAGCGGACCGATTATTTTACCATTTAAAATTAATGTCCAATGGTTTATCTTGAAGCGATATCTTCTCTCATCAAATGTGGGTTTGCTACTTGCCACTCGTGTAAGTTATGCAGGTTCATGTACCCATCTTTCTTAAATGTGGTCTCATCCGACCATAAAATTTTTTCAAAGAACTGTGGATCTTTCCTGTGTCTTTCTAACATTGTGCGACAAAAAGCAACTCGGGGTCGTAATCCCGGGGCAGGAGAGGTTGAACACACTGTATGTGGTATGGATGAAGCACATCACTTACTTGCTATTGCACACTTTGATACCGATCAGTACTCCTTCGTTTACTGCGCATCTTTACATGTTCGTGCTTGTTGATTTCGTACTGTTACTAATTTTGGATTCGTGAACTGGACTGTTGATCGCTTGAGATTTGGATTTGGACTGTTTAATTGCTCTTGAAAACAACATTTGCTTTCCTTAGACTATCTTTGATAGTGTGATTGTGCAGTGCCGCTATGTCCGTGTACACCGTACAAGAATATGCTACCATGCATCTCATTTATGGGGAATGCAGATGCAACGCTAGTGATGCAGCGAGACTTTACTGTGAGAGGTACCCGAATGCAGCTCGTCATCCAGATCATCGAGTGTTCACAAATGTGCAACGCTTACTGTTCTCAGAGGGCCAACTACCAAACCAATCACACGGTGAGAGAAGATCTTTCCTTCCTTACGAAGACGTGGTGCTAGGAGCTGTCGAAGAAGACCCGAGTACTTCAGTTCGTGCAATAGAACTAAAAATAGGTGTGCCCAAAAGTACAGCCCATAGAATCTTGCAAAAAAACGTGCTCCATCCATACCACGTAGTTGCTTTTTGTCGCACAATGTTAGAAAGACACAGGGACGATCCACGGTTCTTTGAAAAACTTTTATGGTCAGATGAGACCACATTTAAGAAAGTGGCACGTAGCAATCCCACATTTGATGAGAGAAGATAAATCTCAATATCGCTTCAAGATAAACCATTGGACAGGAATTTTAAATGGTAAAATAATCGGTCCGTTTGAGTTCCCAGAGACTTTGACTGCTGAGGTTTATTTGGGTTTTTTGCACCAGATTTGAATCCGTTAGATTTCTTTTACTGGGGAACTGTAAAAGAAAAAGTGTATTTCAAGCCGATTCAAAATGTAGCTGAGCTACGGCAAAGACTATTGGAAGCAGCTGAGTTTGTTAATAACCATGGATTCGCTCGTTTAATAACCCGATCTTTTTTAAGAAGATGTCGAGCGTGTTTTGCGGCTGAAGGAAAACAGTTTGAGCATTTGCTGTAAAGGTAAATCATCATCAGCAGCATTTTGACGCCCACTGTTGTGCAAACAGTTATCCTTAAGGGTCCTTGTGCGTTTTCATAATCGCTGCTTTAGGAAATTTTGAAAAATTTTCATCAGTTTTTCTTCAAATAAAAATTGTGCATAAGTTAACGAGTAATCTTCTAAGTGTTATATCATTTTGGAATCCTTATTAAATGCCCCAACTTTTAAGGTTACTTGCCAAACTCTCGTAGTACATTTTTTTCCAGTACAGCCAGTTAAAGTTGAGCAAAGTTTTACTTTGGAATACTTGGTTGGGAAATAAGTGGCAATTTTTCCTGAACGAGAAAAGCTGGCAGTAAGGTTGAGACACCAGTTTGAAGATGCATTATTCATCATTACATTGTAAAAATAAAATCCAAAAAAAGTTAATGTTTGTAGTAACAGGAGTTGACAGACTGCCGTAGGGTGTGAAATTTCTATATCTTTTTCAAAGACCTATAATTTTCAAAGCACATACATAAAATTTTTTAAAATATTTTTCTGATAGCTGTTATGACTTTGCCTATCACCCGGTTTCGGCTTGACGTCGGCTTCTGGGACACCCTGTATATATATATCCGTAAGTATAGAATAATTAAATGTAGATAGCTATTTAGGACTGTCAACGTAGGAAAATACTTCGCCGCCTGACCTTATCGATTAGTTAATGTTAACAGAAAAGATCTTAAAGGTTTCTAAATAAGCTACACGAAGTTTAACATTCACCTGACACCGTGAATGTACGAAAACTGAATGCTTCTTTATCACCAAACAATACACGCATTCACCACAAAAATTTAACAGAAAAACCTGACCATTTTATCACTTGTTGTTCATGGCAAAACTAATGAATTCTAATAAACATACGTAAGTCTTTACCTTTTTTTGTCACTCAGTATAGAACATAATAAAACCAAACAGCCCACAAGTTCTTCATAAAATGCTATCGTTTCAAAGTAAATTGAAGCTAATCCATTTTAATACTACAATAAGAGAAAAACTATTGAAAGCTATTAACACCTTTTGATGATCTTATTAGATTATTTGAAACCTGCTTTGAATGCTAAACAGCGTTTTTAAGTTCTGGCAGTATATATTCAAGGTAACCTTAGTAGCCATTATCTTTTCGTCTATCACAATAAAACCGTTTCAAACCTCAAATAGATATAAAATGTTTTTATGGTGGTACTTGGGTAGATATTGGAGCAACTATATCGTCAGTTTTGAAATTGAATCGTTTCTCCAGTTCATTATCACCACTGGACACATTTTATCAACATGCTCTTTCTGCTAAATAGTGGACTATTTCAAGATTGCAAAAGTACCAAAAGCGGCCAGGTCGATAATCATTGATGCCAAATATAATTCAGAGTTTTTTTATGCGTCTTGTTATCGTAACGTACATTATGTCATGTCATGCATTTTGGGCAACGCTATTTAGATACAAACATCCATACTTTGAATTTCCCCTTTGTTTATTCAAGCATGCGGTCGATTTGTTATTAAAATTCGAAAGTTCATTGCGACCAACTATTACTCAGTGCCGTAGCGCAAAAAAAAATCGCAAAACGCGGTGCAATATTAAATTGCTGTTAGCAATTTCATTGTATATATGGTTGAATAAGATTAGTTAGGACTCTTTGAAGGTCAGATACATCGCCAAGACGTCGAGTTCTATAGTTATCAGCGACTTCGATCCATATACACAGAAAACTGAATGTAATGTGACGGGTTCTTGTAGCAAAATTTCATCAAGTAGGTTGACTCTGCATTTCCCTCGTAACGCTGACATAAGTTCATAAAGCATACTGTGCACAAGTTAACCCCTCGGAGGAAAATCTTAGCTACGGAAAGGTATAACAAAAAAAAGGCGAACAAACCTCAATGCAACACTGATATTAACTGGGTATAGATATTTTTGTTCAATTCTGAAAGAATAAGTCGTATGTAAGAAGAGCAGTCTTATTTTACTACTACTAAATCACACTGCAGCCGATTCTCTTGTACAAAAATATAAAACTCGAGTGAGGAGTCTGAAAATGTATATCTTGACTTTTTTTGGAATATGTTATCAGTGTAACTACACCGAACAACGTCATTAACGGGTGACTTTCTTTGATCGCTCATTCTATCTCTACCAGTTGTCCAGTTCCTGTCTCTATTCTATAGTTGAAAGCGCAATGCAATCAAATAACGAGTTCATGTGCTAAGTAACTTGGAGTGACCAGATGTCCCAGAGCAAAAGTTTCAGCAATATTCACGTGTTAGACAAAATCTCCTCTAGCAAATCTTATTAAATGGTTATTTCGACCTATCCGACGTTATGTATTCAGAACGGCGTAATCCCCACATTGGATCCAGTATCATAATTGAGAAAAAAATACAAAATTTTATGCATGACATATTTCAGCTAAAGGATATCGGGCATACCAAAATATAATTTTTTAGCGATTATTATAAAAATAGTAGTAGAAAAGACTCTTTAGGTTTTCAATATCGGTCTAGCGATGACGCAGTTATGAGAAACGAAAAACTGCAGGAAACAGTTGCAAGGGGCATAATATTGGAAAAGCTTACCATATTTTTGAACGTTTTTCAGCATACTAGTAGTGCTTACTTCAGGATATAAGTTAAGGCATTTAGCGGGCCAAAAATATTTCATATTGTGTCTCATATGAATTTCTCTTATTAACTGAGTGCCGCAGATGGAGTGGTATTTACAGCCCATACAGCTTAATAGTTTTTGACATTATGAGGAGTGTTGTTTCCGTCACTGGATATATTAAAATTTTATAATATTAAAATGGCAGATTTTAACTGCATACCAATGATACAAACCTGAACTTTCAAATTTCTGTTTGACTTGCTGCAATCAGATGAATAGATTCGTCCTGATATCACAACTAATACAGGGTGCGCCATCTTTTATGTCGGTATTGAAACAACGAATGACTTTGATATTTACCAACCGAGTGATTTGGTTAACGTGTTTCTGAAACGTCAGTTTACTACAATTTTAGTCATGAATCGCTTTAAACCGAAATAGTCACAATGTACTTTGAAAATCGTCGTTCAGTTGTGTTAACGCGACGTGCATATTATCGTCGAAAATATCGTGGCAAGCAGGCACCGTCTGACAACACTATCCGTCGTTTGGTTTCGAATTTTCTTGAGTGGGAGATCGTCAACATACCGTTCATTAACGACCAAGACGTTCCAATGAATTGGTTGAAGCGGTCAGAGACAGCGTTGCCCAGAACCCAAAAGTGTCGTAACGTCACCGCGCTCAGCATTTTCGTACCAGTTGAACCACGTTGCGGCGCATTATGAAGGATGATTTGTTTCCTTATAAGGTGCACTTAACACAAAAAATATTGCCGACTGACCGTCCACGTCGCTTGGAATACGCCCAAACGCACGCATGGTTGATGCTGAACCTGAGATCCACGAAATGCCGTTGCATGACCGGAAAGTGACTGTTTGGGCCGGCGTTTGTGACCATCATTGGGCCAGGTCTCCAGATTTGACTTTACCGGACTTCTTCTTGTGGGATTATTTGAAAAGTCAAATGTACTCCAGTATGCCCCAGACCACTGGAGAACTCAAGGCAAAGATTCGCACCGCAATCGCCGCTATACCACCAGAGATGCTCGAAAAAGTAATGGAAAACACAGCAATACGAGCACATTTTGTTTTGGCCAATAAAGGTGTCCAATTGATATATGTTGAGTTCATAAACTAGTCTCAATAAATTGTAAAGGACCATATTTAATAAAAATACCCTATATATAGAAATCAGTTTTTCGTTTTCAAAGTTATTTCATGTTTACATACCGACATAAATAATGGCGCACCCCGTATTTATTTTGTTTACGAAGCATACTCGCTATTACCGATGCGCTCATCCGAAAATGGCATACCGTAGTTACTGCTCTGGCATGGTGATACCGTGGTAAGTGCCGACGAGGCGGCGTGGTGCGACAGGAAGGCGATTTGAGAACCAATCTGGTCTGTTTCACTTGAACGCCGCCAGATGGGGCATCAAGCAGCCTGAAAGCAGTGGCGTGGATAGGATTGAATTTGCCTCTAGCAGTCGATCCTGAAAGTTGGCTGACAGCTGGTGCTATAGACTAAAGGGCGCTGCACAATTGGCCGGGAACGTAAAAGGGAACGTAAACGGAAACAGGGGAGAACATCATTTTGATATTATCCGTACAATTATGTTACATGTTCGACAAAAGGGAAAGGGCGGAAGAGTTGGTCAAGATTCAACTTTTCCATTCCATCGTCTTCTCGGAGCCAATCAGAATACTTGGATCGTGTACATGTTCATAAGCTATGGTTAAATTCCTAAGTGGGGCGTTTTCCGTTTTGCTTATTTGGTCTGTGTTTACGGGTAATGACGCTTCGGTTACATACAAATACGATTATGAATGAGGAATTATTAATACAATTAGTTGTACATCTTTGCACCAAAAGGGGTGAAGCAATACGAAGACGATAAAATGAAAGCAAATAGTTCTTCTATTTTCTTCTTTTGTCATTAAGTACAAGACACATTGCAAAAAAAGGACGCAATGAGAAACTGTTCTTCAAAATCGATTTTTCATTTTATGAGTTAAACAGTTGCACAGAATAAAGTTAGGTTAGGTGTAAAAATGCTGTCACAGTATATTATTTTTCACGAGTATCCATTACGGTAGAACGACAGCTGATTATCTAGTAATATTTTAAAATTCCCCATATCGGTAAAGGGCACATAATTCTGACGGATCCGTCAATGCCAGGTAGACAGATCCATATTTTGTTTTGGTTTTTTGTACGCTACAGATTTGTCTTGTACTTGCTAAAAGTTCTTTTATTTAGAAACGTTAATTTGCAAACAAAAAACCATACAAACAAGTTTTACTAGATTTACATTCGATATTCATTATTGCCAACGATGTAGGCTAAGACAAAAATGTCACTTGCTGATCAGCTGTTCACCTAAGTAGACGCCAAAGCGTGACGGATACTCCTGAAATAGGGTATAGCTAATCAATAATTGTGCATCTGTAAAAACGTCTCGTTACCGCCCTGGTTCTCGTTTACGTTCTAGCTTCCGTTCCCAGACTGTTGTGCAGCGGCCCGAATTGGAATGGAGGACATGCGAATCCCGCCGACGCCCATTTTTCCTTTGTCGCAACTTTTTTACTAAACGTACTCGTTACTAATTGATATTGACACGTGCAAGATACTCAGAGAATCTAATTGACTCCTTTTGCTGATCCGTCATGCATTATTCACCTGGAAAATGTCATCGATAAGCCTGGCAAACATTCCTCCCGCTCTTGGTGGTTTGAAGGGTGTATTCTCCGTAGTGGCCGGAGCTACGGGCTGTGCAGGATGCCTGGTATCAGCCCCGAGAGTGATTCCACTGATCTGCACGCTGGACCCTTCGTGGCTAGCAGGTTGAAGTTGATGTTCGTTGGGTTGTTGGGCGTACACTGGCGATAAGGGCTCGACCTTCTTTTCTTCTGATACTGAGTTGATGGCTATGTCGTTTACTGTCGCCTGAAAAAGTACACAATTTAAAGAAGGAAAGGTTGTCTGATCAAGTCCACAGCCTTGAGCGCAAAAGAATAGAATAATCCCAAATTTTTACAGACGTTGACGTTTTTCAAGGAAGTTTCTGAAAGTGCGGAAATAAAGCAAAGTTGAGACGTCACCTGTGATTAGCTTCACAAATCGCGTTACTGCGGCTACGGCAGCGAGGAACTACAGCTTTCCGGCATCTTTGAATGACACATCAGCATACGATTGTCACTCAATGGGGTGCTAAGTCCCCACCGTTATTTGCAAAAGTTGCATGAGTTAAGGTCAGGCAGTACAGCGAATAGTGAAACTACTGATAGGCAGCATGTCACCTTTGTTTTATTTCAGCACATATTGAGTTTTTTATACTAATTTCCTCTTGTTCGCTTTCTGTCACCTGTCTCCAAGCGACTAGACCTATACCGTACTGATGATTGCCAAAAAGCATGAAACAACGTTGTACACTGTTGGTTACGATCGCAGAGACGGCACGCAAACATAATATTCTATTCAGCCTGAGTTTGTGAGTGCATCCGTTCCCTCCAAGATATATTCATCGAAAAGTTAGCTTTGTCCTTGGATATAAGCCTGATGGACGGCAACGAGACTTTCCCACTTTTTCTGTCGAGAATAACTCTATCAGTGTTTAGGTATTCAGCTCCCGAAAGACAAGAGAACCACGCCTATCTTCTTTTAGCGATTCTACTCTACAAGAATAGTGGTCTTAGATACTCGAGATTTGTCAACCATTTGCTCTTGAGAATATTAACAAACATCAAGTAGCTAGCACGAGCCATCCACCGTACCTACTCTGTGACGCAGTATAATTATGTTGAAAATTACCCGTATCAAGACTATAGAACCCATGGACACTTTTTTTCTCCGTGGATATGTACCATTTTGAAAAAATCAGCTTCCCAACAAGGTCGGTAGCGTATAGCAGATGCGCTATGAATTGACCCCATCTTAACTTTTTAGCATGACCTTTTAAAAATAACGTTATATACAAAACTTGTAGTGTCTTATATAAAGTTTTTCTGTCATGTATTTTTTGTATCTTAAAAGTGCTGTCGAATAATATGCTTGATTAATTACTGTAGGGAAAAACTGAAACCTTATATTTGTAGGTCGTTAAATCGTAATGCCGCTATCTCTTTTAACACACGTATTGCACGCTCTCCGGACTTCTCTCTCATATACATATATTACGTCAGTGGTATTTGGTTTTCAGTGTATGTGACATAGGAAATTTGATCTTTTGACCAAACTACTGATAATAAATATGATAATTCATACATATCTGCAATGAGTGAAACACCGACTGCCATTTTCACTAAAATTATACAGGGCTTAATACAACTATATTCAATAGTACTTTAAGAAAAGACTTTTTCCGAAAAACTAATATTAGAGCATACATCTTGATTAAAAAACATTTGTTTCCATACGGTCATACAAAAATTTTGAAGGGGGTCAATTTATAGCATTTACACAGAAAGATGTGTATATTGGTATATGTATCAATATCAATCTGTAACGTTAAATACTAAAATGGAACTGAAAAGCGCAAATAAAAATGGAACCGAAAAAAATTTGAATATGAAGTTCTAGGTACAACTAGCAACCTGCCAAAAAGTTCGTAAAAATAAAAATTGAAATAATAAAGCAAATCATTTACAAAGCATTGTTAAAGTTCCACAAAAGCCACATGTCATTGTTATTAGTCATAAAACACACTGTACAAAGCATTTCGGTATACTATCTATTGGTAAGGTGAGGACACAGATGAGTGAGAACTTTATTTGGCTTTTTGCACAATTACATGGAGGCCAATTTTGGCTGATGGGGAGCAAGCAAATGACAAAATATAACAATAACTTCGTATCAAAGTAAGCGAATGGGGTTAATTATTACCTAATGCTTTGTTAATAAAAAATATCAACAGGAGATTCACTTAGAGGTCGCGAATTTTTATAATTGGTAGTAAAACTACTTGTTGTACACAATATTCTATTCTGTCTTGTTTTTCGTAGACTAAGAAAACAATTAAATAGGTTATCAGGAAAAATCTAATTATCCGTAATGCATATTTGGTTTAAGTATACTGAATTTTACGAAACCAGTTTAACTGAAAAAAAACTATTGAACTGAAAGTAATAAACCATGTATCTTTCCCATTAATATTGTTCAATTAATTGAGACAAGTTTGTTTAAGTGGGAGAAGTACATTTAAAAAAGTAAATTTTTACTGCATATAGTTGAACATTTCGATTAAGATAAGTAAACTGTTCAACTGAACAGCGATTTGGCAGAACTCGGTTCTGCTTCCGTGAATAATCCGGAGGTAGGGTCAAGTGGTGCAAAAATGATACAGCCGAAATTTCGGTCAAAAACAAGACATTCAATTTTTCCCAATATCAAAAAACAATAACATTGTAAAAAATACGTTACAAATTACTTCCACATATATACAATTGAAATATGTAATGAATAATAAATAAACGCAAACACAAACATCGAGAAAAAAACTATCGCATCTGATTGTGCATTTTGCTTAAATAATCTTTTAAATTGTATTTACAAACTTTTCCTGTTGCGCCGCTGTACGTGATCGTAGAGACTCGGCAAGTATCGCGTTTTCAAAATAACAAATGCGGCTATGATATTGCATATCGAATTTAGTCTATTTTTATTTGTTGGGAAGCAGGCACGTCGTCAATAACAGTTGCAAAAACGAGACACCACAAATTTTAAAAACAAGACACCTGCCAGGTAAAAAACAAGACAGCTTTTATTCCATTGATAATAATGCCAAAGGCTTACGTTCCCAAAAAAGCGCCCCTACGACAAAAGAAACATGGAAACAGCCCTAAACCTAATAGATAATGGCACTTTATCTCTTAGAAATGCAGCTAAACCGTTTAAAATTGACAAATCTGCTCTTTCGAGAAGACGTACTCGTTCACTTGGTAAACAGGGAAGAAAAACTTCTCTAACCAAAGAAATGGAAGTAGACTTAAGTGATAAGATAAAAATTATGACAAAATGGGGGTTTGCTCTCACTAAACCAGAGATACAAGCAATAGTTCAAACCTATGTACAAGAAAACCACCGTACTACCCAGTTTAAGGAAGGAAAGCCTGGGAAAGACTGGTTTAAAAATTTTTGTAAGCGCAATAGACTAAGTCAAAAAAACGCAAAAAACGCAAGTTTACTACGTGGCACAAATCCTTAAGTTTTTAAGAGCGATGTGGAAGTAAAATATCTGAGGCGCAAAGGATTTGAATTTATTTTTCCGGCCATCGAGGAAAAGTACTTCATCGACAAAAGTAACATAGAAATGCAACTTCCTCAGCCAGAAATAGAAAGTAAGACTTGTCGTATCTCTCAGCAATATTGGTCTACTATCGACTTTGAAAAATACGTCGTTCAATAATATGTAGTACAAAATACGTTAGAATAATAATTTTTCTACTTTAGCTCTTAAAATCCTATTGAAAATCTTGTTTTGCCCCTTTTTTGAATTAGGTATGGTTTATTTAACTTGTTTTTGGATTTGTTTTCTTTTTAGTTTAATAAACATAGTTTTGTATTTAATTATATGAGTTTTCTTTAAGAACGTTGTCATAATTTAAAACCTAACTATGTTATTTGACTTACTAAATGCTTTAAACCCTTGCAGTGTGTCTCGTTTTTATTCCCCAGTCTCATATTTTGCCACACTGATGTAAAATGACTAAAAGGCCAGAAAATACAGTGTCTTGTTTTTAACCTATCACTGTCTCATTTCTAGCCTAAATAGTGGTTAAAAACGAGACACGGTTTTTTAACAAAACGCCCTTCATTATGAATATTATGAACTTTTTTAACGTGTATATACGTGTTATAATTACTACATGGCTTTCTGTATACAGGGCAATATAACAAAGCCTTAAAGTCAGGTTTTCTGTTGACAAAAAAATTAAAAGATTTAAAAATCGTCTCGTTTTTGCACCACTTGACCCTATGTGAGAGACACGGTTCGGTTAAACTTTGAACTCGTCGTTTTCGTGACTTCTCAAGTATAAAAAAAGTTTAGTTTAAAATATTTTTTGAGTGTCCTTACCAATATTTAGTTGTATTCTATATTCTGAAATGTTAAATGTACTTTACCTCAGTATTCACGTAGTAATTTGACAACCTAAGAAGCTTGGATGACTCCATGTCAATGACATATGTGACTTTCTTTTTGGTATCCTAAAATTACATGGGGCCATCAATTATTACTACTCACGATAAATGTACAAGTATGATATCATAACAAAGTACTAAGTACTATTTCAGTTGGACCTTCGTTAAGAACACCCATACTATAAAAGGCTCACAAAAGTTGCTTTAGTATGACTGGGGAAGGGACGTTATGATTTCAGTCGAAACACGTATGAACCATAAAGAAAGTCCAGTGCAGTAGAAAATGGGAATCCAGCAATTCCAAAACGATTCTTATTGAAAGAAATCTGAAGGATGCATGCAAGTGGCTTACAAAATGAAAACCCCCGCTTCCGCATGCTAAGAAAATGCCCGTAGTATGACACAAAACAAGCTGCTTACAAGAGTGCTGCTATAACGAAGATTGAACCAGATACACAGGTCTGCGCTCTATTTCAGAAGGGATATTAAAACCATCGAGGTCTATAAGCGGAGTTCTTGGTCCTAAAGATAACTGAAATCGCATCTATAAATGTTTGCATCTGTAGGTCTTGGAACATGTTTTTTAAACTTCCGTAGAGGTATTTTTTATTCTGTTATCATTGTTTAAGGGCCACAAGCTCCTAATTTTGGCGTTTTTGTTCAAAAGTCACCTATTTGTGAACATTTGACTTGTTATTTCGAACTTCGAGCTATTAAAAATCCGCCAAATACCAAATGATAAACATGTTTCTTTCAATGCAGAAACAACCGCGTACGCAGAAGAATAAATACTCCTTATTTGAACCCCCTGGATTTCTTTTTGTGGGGCACTTTCAAACAACTAGAATATGCTGAACAATTAATTTTGTTGATCAGCTACAAAAAGAATAGATAGTATGGGTTTTTGTCAAATTCAAGCCACAACAAATTTTGCGGAAATACGTTTTTCTTTATTAAAAAGATGTTAGACCTTGTATCCGTCAGAATGGTGGTATTTTGAACATTTATTCATTTTTGCGAAAGCAATGCACTCTTGGAAAAACACAGATTAATTGTTTGTAGCAATTTGATGGTAAAATTCGAAAAATTACGCGTGGAGTACTATTTTTATTTAGAAAAAAATGTCGCTAATCCCCTGCATCTCCGCCACTGGTGCACGTTAATTTGAGTGAAGACTTTGAATGTGGACATATTTAGGGTAAATCCATATACCAAATTCTTGTTCATTCCAGTTGACAGTTTTTTAAATACTAAAAGAAATTGTTTTGTATTTTTAAACTTCAACACCCCTTATCTTTTAAAAAATGTTACATATAAGACCCCCTTAAAATGCGGTCCTGTGTTTGATGTTTTATTTTTGGTCACGACTTGTGAATCGCCCTGTACATTCTCTGTCAATACTCAGTATTCTGACTCTTCGACGGATCGAGCTCAATGGTGGCGCGACGTCTATCTTTATCATACGCAGCACGTCGAGGAGTTTTGGGCCAAAAACGTATAAAATTGTTTTTGTTAAATGTAACTATCAAATGCAATTATACAGATATTAAATTGAATTATTATGTGTTGAAAGGATGAACTTTTGTGCGAATTTATGTGAGTTTCAGTGTGGATAAATAATATTAAAATAAAATTTGCATTAATGGGTCTTTCCTTTGAAAAAATGAGATGAATAGATTGGAAAACTACAAAAGGCAGTAAATTGTTTTGCAGAGTATATAAGCAGTAAATTACATGATACTGCTCTTTGATTTACAACAAGGATCGAATGTTATTTACTTTAGGCCTCGGCCACAATTGTAGACCGAAATCCACTTTTGTTCTGTCTTAATAATACTACTTATTTAGTTCGAAAAATCCAGAATTTTTAACTCAATTTTCTCAGACTTCGATTTTCACGTCTTACTGTCGCTTACCCAGTACAACCGTATAGACCCTGGTCTTCGTATATCCTGCAATGTGTAATATTTCCCACAAAAAGGAGCAAAGTGAGCATTTTTGTTCAAAAAACCATATTTCAAAAAGGGCTTTAAGGAAGAATTTGAATATAATGTGTGATTTTTTTGCTAGCTTTTTGGCGACACTGCTTTTGACAGATGACGCGTGAATCGTGTCTTGTGTCATTGTCAAACTTGTTTAGTTTGGTCTATAATTTAACCATGAACGACTTACGAACGAACAACGCTTGCAAATTATTGAATTTCACTATCAAAATTCATGCTAGGTTAAGAGAGTGCATCGAGCACTGCTTCCAATTTATGGGCAATTTGGTCGGCCTACTGATGGAGCTATTCGGAAGCTTGTGACTAAATTTTGAACCCAGTTTACATTATTGGACAAAACCACCAACTCGCAGACGTAGAGTGAGGACTGAAGAAAATATTGCGGCTGTATCCGCCAGTGTTAGTGATGACCGTGAAATGTCGATTCGCCGCCGTTCGCAGCAATTGGCCTCTGTTGATTTGGGTGTAAAACCTTATAAGATACAGCTGGTGCAAGAATTGAAGCCACACGACCTCCCACAACGTTTCCAATTTGGTGAATAGGCGGTGGCAAAGTTGGAGGAAGATCCACATTTTTATCGAAAAATTGTGTTCAGCGACGAAGCTCATTTCTGGTTGAATGGGTACGATAACAAGCAAAATTGCCGCATCTGGAGTGAAGACCAGCCAGAAGCATTGCAAGAGCTACCAATGCATCCCGAAAAAATCACTGTTTGGTGTGGATTATGGGCCGGTGGCATCATCGGGCCGTACTTCTTCAAAGACGACAATGGCCGGAACGTAACTGTGAATGGCGAGCGCTACAGTGCGATGATAACAAACTTTTTTTTGTCCAAAATGCAAGATCTGGACTTGGCTGACATGTGGTTTCAACAAGACGGTGCCACATGCCACACCGCATACGAAACAATGGCCCTATTGAGAGGCGAGTTCGGTGAACAGTTTATCTCACGTTTGGGGCCAATCAATTGGCCGCCTAGATCGTGTGATTTAACGCCGTTGGACTATTTCTTGTGGGGCTATGTTAAGGCTAATGTCTACAGGGATAAACCAGCAACGATTGACGCACTGGAAGCCAATATTGAGGCATTTATTCGTGAGATACCGGCCGATATGTTGGAGAGAGGGTGCCAAAATTGGACCTTGCGCATGGGCCACCTAAAGCGGAGCCGCGGCCAACATTTACATGAAATAATCTTTAAACATCAAATTATATCGACTGTTCTATCGACTCAAATAAAGATTTAATCGATTTTCAAATTTTTTGTGTTTTTTTTAAAATCAAGTCCTATACCTCTTAAAAAATCGCCCGTTATATCATACGCGGAGAAGTAACCCTGGAATGAACACTTCGCCTCTGTTACGTTTTAAGGCCATTATGCAGCTAAGAAGCTAATGCAACGGACGTTATGTCACCGAAATCGGTATCCGAGAAAGTTGATGATGAATACAGACGTGCTTGTTAAAAGTTCCACTCTCTGATAACGAGGGATCGCACGCGGGAGGATAATCTGGATTATTGGATGTATGAGTAACTACAAGAATATACCTTTTATCGGCATATCCGAGCTTCCTGGTAATGCCGTATCGGACAGAACGTTTACGTTGAAGTTTCAAACGATCTAATAAGAAACTCAAGATATATTCCTGTAGAGATAATATCCATAGGCATACAAGGTGATTTATAAAACAATGCAATACTTCTAAAGCAAAATACAACCAAAAGTAACAAAAAAGGTTCCAATTTTTTTTTAATGGCACTAGGAATATGTCGCATTAACCAGATCCTTTTTTCCAATTTAC